TTCAATCTCGCCTCATGGTCAAGGCGTTCCAGGTGGGCTTCTGTCGTGATTGGAGGTTCGTCATCTTCATTCCCTCCATATCCTGCGAAGAACTCCTCAGTCAGCTCTTCTGGAACTAGCTCATCGTTCATCTCTTCATCTCCATGGGCTTCGATAGCCTGGATTCCAGCAAATTGCGGTGGATAAAGCCTGGGAATCTTGCTGGGTGATGAACTCACGGGTCGATCTTTCTCCTCTTCATTTCTTTGCCTTGCGGAGCTAGCATCAGGCATTTCCTCTGTGTCCTCAATCTCGATCACTTCTCTCCTCTGCTTCTTCTCTCCGTCTGGTGCCTCCTCGTGCACTGAGTCTCTCTTCTCATGGGCTCGTCGGGAAGAATCTTCGTCATCATGCCTCTTTGCTTCTGGCTCTTCCTCACCTCCTTCTGCACTCCTTTTCGTTGGCGCTTCTCGACCAATTGCTGGGGTCATAGGGGCTGTCACTGATGGTGTAGTCGGCTGTGGTTTCAATCCGGGTGCAGGTGTCACTACCCCGGCTGCTACTGCTTCTGTGATCATCTTCATTTCTTCTTCAGTGGCCTCGTTCTCCAGTGTGGGTTGCCTGTACCTTTGTGCCGAACCACTATGTTTCATCATGATCCCCTGTGGTGAGTATGCCCATGGTAGGCCTTTTGCGATGATCATGTCTGTTCCTATGAAGCTCTCCTCCACTGGTAGCCTTCTAATCGTCCTCGCTTCAAAGGCTCCTTCGGGCGTCAAGATGATGTGGGTGTCATTCCAACTATGCTTTCCAACCCAGACGCCTCTCTCAAATGTGTCATTGGCTTTGTACTTGGTCGTCCTCTTGAACATCACTGACTCTCCATACAGCGCCAATTTTCCTCGGTACACATGTCCAGTGGCCAGCTCATAGCTTGTCTTCCCGATCTTCTCAAGGACTCTGAATCTGTTGATCAGGAACGATGCGTACCTGAATGACCAGGGGTACATATGCAGGTTCCCCATGATCTTGATGAAAGCTCGTCCTTCTGCGTACGACCTCAGGCAATTCGCCAACTTCCTCATTGTCTGGATTGCCCTCTCAACCTGACCATTTGATGCATGCCTGTCAACCGAATTTCACACTGCAGGCCCATCATTGCACGGACTTGTTGCACTGACCTCAAAATCTGTCGCATCGAGCGTTCTGAATCACCTTGAAAGATGCATTGATCTCGAGCACTGTTCTCGAGGGAGAAGCGGATCACTTCTTCTGTGATGGTCTTGAGGCTCGCAGTCCCCTTTGAGGGGATAGGCACTGTGTGAACTGCTTTTGTCTCGGATGACGTCATCACCAAACACGTGCCAAATTGATCCGATCGTTCTGCCACTTTGTCAGGTGGAGCCTCATCCATTCTCTTCTCCTTTCCTGTGTAGGTGAAGCAGAAATCCAATTGAATCAAATTCTTGCCCAAATCTTCCTTCACCTCTCGAGAGACATAGTGGTCCTCCTTTGCCCGGCTGGCGACGCATGCTTGGCACCATGCAGCGTAAGGGATATGCGTCACGAAGTGTGCCTCTTGATCCTTTCTTGGGGGCAATTTGGGCTGTCCCAATGTCAATGGTTTTCTCTGTTGCTCCGCAAACAGCTTGTTGGCAATACTGAACTTCATCTGATTCTCAAGGTTGATTCTGAAGGCCAACAGCCTATCCAACAACCTTCTCTTGCTGCCGCTGTAAGGGAGATTCCTTTCTTTGCATGCCAACTGCAACTCCTTGACGGACATTTTGTCGGTGTACACAACTTCATCCAATTCTATTTCATTTAGCCTGTCTGCAACCACCATCTTCTCGATGTCTCTGGTGTCCATCTGCAGCTCTAGCTCCTCCTCTCCTTCTTTGTCGTCCTCTGACCAATCTAGCCTTCCTTCAGGTTCCCTCGATTTCTCCTCTAGGAAAGGTTTCTTTGGCACCTCGGAGTAATGCTCCCAGTAATCTTCCATCTTCGATGGGGCGTAGAAATTGATTGTTCTCACTGGGCCTCCCAGTCCAATCTTTCTGAATGCAATCTCTCCCAGCGACATGAAGTTTTCTTCATTCTCAAACTGCGTCCACATTCCGTCGTTATCCTTCACCAAGGTCAATCTGGCCTTCCATTTGTCTTCAATTTGTCCTCGTGGATCGGCCAATGTAGTTGCAATGGGATCACTGTAGGCAACGATGCCGTTGGGGAGACGATGCCACCCAGGAGCCATTTCTAAGTCCTGGATGTGCTTGCTGGGAGTTCCTCTCAAAGCCATTATTCTTGCCTCTTTTCCATTTTCCTTCTGGGTCTCCTCAATGTCGATTACATAGATGTGGGCCTCCAATTGCAACGAATTCCTCTCATTGCTAATTGGGACTAAGACCTGCTTTTCTTCACGTCGCAAGTTCAAGCCATCTCCGGCGCTGGTGATGCTCCATCCCTTTCTCAACAATTTTCCAGCACAAAGAATTGGATGCTAGACATTCCCGAGCACGAACTCCTCGACCAGCTCAATCTGTTTTCCGCTGCTATCCACTGTTCGAACTCGAGCTTTTGTAATGCCATTGTGCTCTATCTTTCTTCCTTGGGCATCCACCATCTTCAGCTGCTTTAAACCTTCTGACCATCTTCCCACACCTGCATAGGACTTTGGAAGCATCGACACATCCGCACCGCTGTCCAATATCACCAGACAAGATGCGTGCTCCTCTTCACTTGTCCTCCTCACCATCTGCACCACCTTCTCATCGCTGCTGTCCTGCAAATCCATGGCCACAACAGAGATGCCGTTGGGGACCAGCACCACTGGCTCTATGCAATCCATGAATTTCTCCTCATCTTTCCACTCCTCTTGTGCGTCCTTAAACTCATCCTCAACAAGTTCAAACCTGATCATGCCCACTCGCCATGGTGGCACTGATGTCTCCTCTGATCCTCGAGGAATTGTAAGGTCAAAGATCTCCAGTGACCGGGATTCAGGTGGTGTCTCCAACCGGACCATCTTTATACTAGATATGGTGATGGCCTGTCCTCCTTGGCTTGATGAGCTTGCTCCACCGGGATTTCCTCCAGTTGGCAATTGCTCTTCCACTTAATTCACCTGGGCTCGTTTTGGTGCCCAGCAATCTTTGGCGTAATGGCCTGTTTTCCCACAGTTATGGCATGCTCCGGCTTTGCCTTTTGCACCTTTGGCTGGCGATTTTCCTTTCTTGCCGAATCCTCCTTTCTCCCATTAAAATCTTCCTTTGTCGCTGCTCTTCCACGAACCTTTGCCATCGGTCTTTGTTTTCCCTTTCTCCTTTCCCTTTGTTTTACCTTTCTGGTCTTTGCTCTTGCCCTTTCCTCCTTTCTTGCCCTTCTCTCCACGGATATAGTCAACTTCCATGGGGGTCGCCTCGTCCATACTCATCCGTGTCGGCAGGCTCAAGCTATTTGAGCTGTCCCACCGCGTGGCCAGGGCCTCCAGCTCCATCACTTTGTTCTTCACCTGCTCATACGTGGTCTCGTCGCTGATCCACAGCTGCAGGTGAGCCCTCAAATGCGGTGGAACTGCCTGCAGGATTGATGCTACTTTTGCATCATCTGCATAGGTATGGCCTGAAATCCTCTCGTACTCGGTGATGATGGTCTCATACTGTGGCAGCTGTTCTGAGATGGTCTTCCCTTCTAGGAACTGTACTCGTGAAAGTTGAGTCAGGAGTGCCAAAGATCGAGCACGGATTGCAGGTTGCATCTCCTTCAACAGTCGTTGCCATGCTTCAAATCCATTTTCATGTCGTATGTGCCGCACCAACTTCAGCGGCCTGTTCCTCAGGTACGAGGTGAGCACTGCATACAGCCTCACTGCCATAGCTTTTGTTTCATCTGTCATATCATCGAATGTGAAGTCGCCGTTCAGGTTGTCCTCCACCATCTTCATGCTACCTGCCATGTTCGGCTCAATGCTCTTCACATAGTTGATGAAGCCAAATTTCCAGTCATTCCATTGCTTCAATTCCTAATCTCGGGTGTCAGGTTTAAAAATGTCTGGTGTTTTGACATGCCTTGACCAAACTACTGCACTCTGATGCATAATCAGTCGTTCCAAAGCCTGTGAAATCTATCGTAGGCTTTCCTCCGCCATGTCCCTAATGTAGGGCACGTAGGGGCAAAAGAGCTTCTCCTCTACCCCTTGCTGCTGGCTTGTCGTCCTCGTCAAAGCGAAGTCCTGCAAATCCAATCAGGCTCTCGAGATCCCAGTTGGCCAGCAATTCATAAGCCTCTTCAGCTATGGTTTCGTCTCGAAACCTTTCTGCTCTTCCAATGAACTTCCACTTGGCTGCGACGATCACAACCAACCTTTTCCTGTTCTTTTCTTTGTTTCTTCCTCTTCCTCGTTCCTACAAAGTCAACGAGACCTTCACACTTTTCTCGTTTCGGGACCAAATCAATCTACCACGACCGTATAGCATCGCCGCAAGCTCCTCCTACCGGACAGCGAGACCACCGTGCCAAGAAGATAATAGTTCGCCTCTTAGACCCAATTGTCTCCTATTACACCTACAATGCAAACTAGGAGCAATAGCTCGGTAAGCCAGAATCCGGTGGAAGAAGCTCCTTAGCGAATATAGCGACGAAGCGTCGTGGTGCAAAATATAAATAGTAAAGTCCGATTCTTACGATCAAGGCTCCGCTACCATGCGAAGCAAAGCGAAGCTTTTCTTACACTCGGGCCTAAACACATTAATACATTCGATTTGTACGTATCAACCATAAACGATTAAGACCGGAAGGATTGCGGAATCTGACAAAAAATATATTGACAAATTATATATTAAATTTCTATTAATATCTTGATTTATTAATATGTCAATATTTATTTTATATATAATTTAATAATTTAATAGGATTCTTTTTGACAATGATGAATCGATTGATTAATTAATTTCCTAATATATCAGGATTTATGGCTATGGATCAAAAATATCATTGGATTTCGTTGATAATAATAGTTATTTGTCCTTCAATGTTGTTACAGTTGTTTGATCCATTGCCCCGTCAAGGCTCTGAAAACAGCCTTGCAATCGTTTGCAACAAACGCCAATCCTCGGAGCAATCACCTCAAATGGCAACAAATGGGTGATGGCAAAGCACTGCTTACTTGTTCGATTTAATGGCTTGGGCTTGGGTGGGTCATTGCACTCAGTGTTTCGACATGAAGGTCAAATAGACATGTTATTCTGTTAAACAGTAGGATTTCACATCCGGTCTAGAATCTGCTGCATAACCAGAATGACTCTGACTTGTCTGACGAAACGTTTTGTTTGCTGTGCGAACCCCAAACACGTGGTCACAAAACCTCAACTATCTACTTGATCTTGATCGCACCAGCTCTCCAAAGCAGCATGAAACCAAGCAATTTCTCAGGCTGTTGCTCAGGGTGCGCGACCGAAAATTCGTGGTTCGTACTTGTGTCAGCACCCTGGCAGGCTGTGCAGGCTGAACTAGGTTTTTGATATTGCGTAATGCCTGTCCGTGAGTCCGGAAAAGCAAGACCAAATCCCTTATATACAGCCTTTGCACTGACGTTCCACTTGACCACCAATGCCGTAATGTCATCACCTGCAGCTCACAAGCATCATGACCCTCAGGCTGCATAGCAGCAAACTGCAACGCAGTGCACAGCTCGAGCAGAACTTTCCGAGATCCGTGCAATACTCGCCGCAATATGCTGCCCAGCGCTTCCTGCAAGTTGGAGGAGCAAAGTGGGAGCGCATTGAGTGCCTTGTTTGGGGAGGACCAGGCTGGAGTATGCTGGAGTGACGCACTCGTGACTCAAAAGAAGGCCATCATCGAACCCCCTACCATTGTCAACAGATGTCAACAGGGCGCCTGGACGCATCGACCAGGTTCCTTGCTGCCTCACGAGGGCCCTTCAAACGGAGCCTGGAATGCAAAATCCAAAATTGGCAAACCACAAGGGATGATGGTATCACGACTAGAAGTAATGTACATGACGACCATGGCCAAACAAACCACAAACCAATCTCTAGCTCTGAGTCTGAGATCCCAGCTTTTTGGCCGTCAAATCTACTGCTTTGGTATAGTCGATGAACTCCCAAATGCCGTCAGAAGCTATGACAGCAAAGAACCTCAGGATGACTGTAGTGGGTACGATGAGGTCATACAGGAAAATAAGGTGGTGTGTCACAGAATAAACGATTTGGAAAAGCCATCCTGCTCTTGGATGAAAGCTGGAGGCCAAAGACCATGGTAGCTACGTAAAGTCTCACGTCAAACTAGTTTGCGTCTGTTACATCGGCTATAACATGATTGGACCAAAAACGGCGACTATGGCCTTTCTGCCGCGATTCGATGATAACCTTGGAAGCTCTAATTCTTTAGGCCCATAATGAGAATGCAGGGAGCATGGTGCCTGGACCTCTTGTAAGGATACAGTATCCAGGAAACTGATGGAAACCGCACATCATGGCACATCTGTGTCCATGAGAGCACCCAAGTTCTTTTCTCTACTGTAATGGAATCGAGATCATTCAACTTGACATGCTGTCAGCTACTAATACAGCCAAAGACCCTCTTGTGGGTCTTTCAGGGCTGGCAGCGCTGATGCTTGCAGCTGAAGGACTCATCGGACGGCTGAATAAACATTTGATGGTAATGCGGCTCCTCTTGTGCTTGTTAGGCAAAATCAGCAACCGCAAAGAAAGGCTAGAAATTGCTTGCCAGCCGTCAAGCACAATCAAGAGACACGTTGTGCATTTACAAGAAACGCAAGTCTCCTGCAAGACGCCTGCACAAGCAGTATCGCCGAAGGCCCTGGACCTTGGCCAAAGAATGTCTGATCAAAAATTACAGTACATAAAATTACCAAAGTGGGCTCTTCCAATTTCTTTACGAGTGCCAATTTTGCAGGAAAAGGTCGCTAAACATCTTTTCAAGGCCCTGGATTCCGCGCATGGTAAGACCTGGGAAGTTTGTCCCCTTGATGTATATCCTGTAGCTCTCCACATCCACCTGCACAACCAAATCTAGAAAAGGACAGAGCGAGGCGTCCCTTGTGCCCGCCTGACGCACTTCACTGCCAGCAGCCTCTAATCGCTCACGCTCGCCTGGGGTGTCTGGCTTGTGATCCTCCGACTCGGCCGGGTTGACTCCAGTTGCCCCGAAAAATGGAGCTGGATGGCAGCAGCGCGGCATGACAACATTCTACTATGGAAACTGGTTTCTTCCCATGTGACTACAAACATCCAACAAACACCTAAACAGTGTAAAAAATTGAAATCGTGCTGATGCTCCTCACACACTGAACCGGTCCTGTGCGCCATAGACTACCCGCGAGTCGTGGCGGTTCCACGACCCGACCAAACAGCCTCCGCTGGCCAACACACGCAAAGACTGGGGACGAGAGTTGACAATGACTGACTTTCCTAATTACGGCAAGGTCCTGGTTTTCCAACGGCAACATGTCTACAAATCCCAACATGTGTTTATGCATTTTCTAGCGTTGCTGTGAGGCCGATGCGCGACAGTGTCGTTGGACAGGCTGTGTCTGAAAGATTCTTTTGCACCTTTACCATCCTTTACCCTAGACTCACGCAGAACTCCTTCGGCCTGCCTGCGTCACCTATATGCGCCACATGGATGGATGGTCCCTGAGGCATATGGTGCACATGCTACATTGTCCTTCGTGTGTTTTTCACCAGTCGGGCCTCAAAAATCAGAACTGAACCAGCAGCACCAGACGCTTCCAAGTTGAAGCCTTGCCACTGCGACGATGCATGTCCAAAAGTGCTCTTCCCAAGATTGGATTCATCAACCTTGCTGTGAGAATGCAACTGTGGACCGCACGTGATGTGAGTGAGAACGCTATCCGCATGGAAACGCGATCTGCCTTCGCGCGCAGCAAACTCGATGAGCTCTTTCTGGGCTGCAAGGAAGGCTTCCTTGAGGCAAAGACCCCAGTCCTGTGCAAACTCTTCGCTGCTCAAAAGATAGATTTGGATGGTGGATCCCAAATGAACACTCAATGCCTCTCCCCAGTTGGGGTTGGACGCAATAAAGTGCGGCAAGGACTGCACCTTAATTCAAAGTTGGCTTCAAAGCCAGTTCTAAATGAACATCTAGGAGAAAGTTCAAGCAATCAAACAAAGACATTAAGCACCTCAAAGGAATCAGCTATAAGGCTATATGATTATCTAATCAACCAATCATTTTATATATTGTTTTAACACATTTTGTGCTGTGGATCGGTCACACATGTGCTTGTAGCATCTCGCAGCTGCTTGAGGACCCCGGCCAGTCTGAACGAGACCAAATGGCCGAAAGGTCCATGACCATCACAAACACCGTACAGCCCGATTGGCCCAACCTGGGAACACGGGTCAGAAGCATCTCGGCTAAACTCAACACCTGAAGCGTCGTGAACCACGCCAACTTCAGGCAGCAGGCATGGTGTGCAAAATAGTTGTCCTGCGGGCGAGGGCGATGTAACAGAAGAGCTCTCAAAAAAGAAAGGGAAATGAACAGCAACATGAAGGCAAGGGCCCCTTCAATAAGGGCTCTTGAAACGGACGGCCGTGATTGAAAGTTCCTTACATTCTCTTTCACCTCTTTTTTCCCAAAAGACGCTTTTCGGTCTTCTTCTTCTTCTTCTTTGTCAAGCTTTGTCTAGTTCCGTCCTCCCTGACGTGTCCTGATTGGGCGTGGGGTCAGCAGCAGACTTCTGCCCCTTCTGGCACACTACCGCCATGTGGATCTGACCCTGGCGTCGCAATGCTACTCTGCTACCCATCCACTTGCACTGTCCATGTTGCATTCGGACTTTTCGCCACCAATCCGGCGGCACTTTCGCCAAAAGACATCTGTGCAAGCCAGACCACGGGGCCTGGAACAAAAATGTGACGCTGAGGCTGAGGGGCTAACATCAAGGCCAAAGCATGCCACTTGTGGGACATGGTTCAGGCGCTGGCATATGCTGACCGAATGGCACAAATCAGGATGCCAAAGTACCAGCGGCGTCATACTTCATTCGCAGAAAGTCTTTCCATTGCCTCATGTTGTCCAGCTCCTGTGAAGGTGTGACGGAGGTACAAAAGTTCAGCACATATTGGGCTTGGAGTGTTCAACTGAATATGATGAACATGACCAGGGTCACGTGAACCATACACACATGAGCCAAATCTTGCGTTGATGGTGCCACCCACTGTTGCAAGTCCAGAAAATGCCGTGACCGCAAATATTAGGTCTCCTCACTTGTAAGTGGCAGGCCATCATCCTCATCCAGACTCACGATCTGTTTGGCAAAATACCGCGTGGCATCCTTCCCGGCAAAAACACCATAGGGGCCCTGCCACTTAGCACATCCAACATCTCAATGGGAAACACAAAAATCTCGAAAACAAAACAAAGCAACAAACAAGCAACAAACAGCTCTCCGAAAGCAAGGCTTAGGAAAGTCCATGCTGGTCAAGGAATTCATCACGAGCAGGACACATGTTAGCACACGCTGATCCACTGGATCTGTCCACCACCGGCCAACGGTGATTGATATTTGATACATACATTACACTTTGTCAAAAGTCTTGTTCCTGAGCCGGCTCAAATTCAGGATTCCGTGCCGTCTCTTCCAGAAAGGTCTACGGGAGTTGATGCACATCTGTGCAAGGACGTCCACATGCCCTGACAACTGCAAAATTTTTTCCCACAAATGCGCCTCGGCCCCATAGAAATCACGGCCACGCCAAACGTTGAACACCTCTCCTTGGATCCGTGTCTGCCCCAAAAATTGCAATCAATTCTTTTTGAATAGTTTGATGGGAACGGAACAGTCTCACTGCCCAAACATTTAGTCACGCTCCATCCATACGATGCTTGCCATGCGACTTACTAGTATCTAAGAGTATCTACATTCAAGGCTGTCCACTCTTTGACTTGCCGATGGGCTGTAACATAAAATGCGTGCAACAGTGACCGTGACATTGTATTGCCGCCGGTCTGTGTATTTGCAGAAACTGTTTGCACTATAAAATTGGAGCTCCTGAGGATTCTCTTGAGGGTATTCTATCAGCATGTGCATGGCAACCTGCGTGCTACCACAAAACAACTTCGCATGTTCAGCAAACCCACCGTGACATACATTTGTATTATGTATGTACTGGTAGTGGCTCCATTTCGCTCATTTTCGCTCTTAACGAACCAGGGCATCTGCGGGTTCCAAGCAAGCAGGATATAATCGACGTCGCTTCAGCCAAAGGAACCGTCCACTCCGATCAGGATCCTCATTTCTTGGAGGCGAGTCGGAGCATTTCTTGAGGTCCAAAGGCCAAAGAACAAGTTCAAAGTGTAAAAAATGTATTATCCCGGCAAGAGACCCCAAACAGTGTGTGTGTGTCCACACCTGTTTCAAAGGAATTTCAACAAGGCAGGGGGCACCTGGAGCAGAGATAGGGCAGGTGCCAACGAAGACACCTATCTCTTGCTCGTGATATCGACGGGAGACGTCCTGTCGACGTACCTGCAAGGTTTCAACTATCTTCGTCTCACCTTTGTTAAACGACGCAGTTGCAGCGGACTCCATTGCCTTACTGCAAGTCAAGGTCTACAATGCATCGGATAATGTAATCGTCTAGAGTGGGACTTCACTCTGATCCTAGCTCTTGCGAGCAACCATCTAAGTGTGTACTCGCCACAGGGTCCCACTGAGGGCTGTGGTGTGATCCCCGTCGAGGGGCGCTGCATGTGCATAGACCCAGATCCTGGGGGACCCACCCAGATTCTTTCGTTTGCAAGCTTGGACTTCCTCCGATTTCCCCTGATTGGCGGTACTGCGCGATACCACTGATACTATGCCGCAGGGCTCACTGAGACTCAAACTCCAATCCGGATTTGCACTTTCATGCATGCGTCTAAGTATTCACCTGTACAGTCTGCACGTCTAAGTAATCACAGGCGGGGCTTAGGACTCAGGCATGTCAAACCACAGACTGCTTTTTGTTGCATGTGCTTTTCATGCTCTTGGGTTCTTTCTCTCTTTCTGTTGCTTTTCGTTTCTTGAGGCCTTTCTTTGGGTTTCAGCTGCCTTTCAGACAAGGGCGCGCCGGCCCAAACCGGCTTTACTTGAACGTCAGTGCTGACAATGCCTTCGGGCTACCCTCCCTGCCCCTGGCCTCTGTTGCTATCCCACCCGCTATCTAGGGTTATAGAAGGAAATCGCACTCAACACACTTGTGCGTTGGTGCCTTTCCTTCTATTCCTCCTGTCCTACTCCTAGCTACCCGGGCGGTATAAGACCAAAGTCCCGCTCGCTAGCTTCTGCACGTATTGTAACTAACAGACCTCATAACTAGTGGGCCTCGTAACTACACCTATCTTTCTCTCCTGCCCTCTTCGGTTTCTCTTTCTGTCTTTCTTTTTTCTTTTCTCGTAGGTGACTACTAAATTTTCTGAGCGCCGAAATCGGCCTGGTGTGTGCGTAAGTCCACACCTGTTTCAAAGAAGTGTTTAAACAGGCGGGAGCGGCTAAGTAACTAAGGGGGTTCGTAACTACGTCTTTCCGTCTTTCTCTCCTGCCCTCTTCGGTTTTCTTTCTGTCTTGTTTTTCTTTTTCTTGCTAAGGCTTGTTAGGTGACTACTAAACTTCCTGAGCGCCGATAGCGGCCTGGTGTGTGTGTCCACACCTGTTTCAAAGGAATTTAAGAATTTCAACAAGGCAGGGGGCACCTGGAGCAGAGATAGGGCAGGCGCCAACGAAGACACCTATCTCTTGCTCGTGATATCGACGGGAGACGTCCTGCCGACGTACCTGCAAGGTTTCAACTATCTTCGTCTCACCTTTGTTAAACAATACAGTTGCAGCGGGCTCCATCGCCTTACTGTTCTGCAAGCCAAGGTCTACAACGCATCGGGTAATGTCATCGTCTAAAGTGGGGCTTCACTCTGATCCTAGCTCTTGCGAGCAACCATCTAAGTGTGTGAGGTCTATAAGATCTGGACGCATTGGGATCCAGAGAGGCGATGGTGGTGACTGAGTGTGGGTGCGAGGGAGTGTGAGAGTGAGTGAGAGTGGGAGAGTGAGTGTGAGTGCTGTGAGTGCGAGTGTGAGTGAGAGTGGGAGAGCGAGTGTGAGTGCGAGTGAGAGTGAGAGTGAGTGTGGGTGAGAGTGAGAGCGTGAGGAAGGGTGAGAACTGCGCCTGCCACGAAATCTGCACTTGGAGGTTCACCACAAGCGCTGTGCGTGCCACGAAATCTGCACTTTTCGAAGCTCACCAAGTGCTGTACCTGCCACGAAATCTGCACTTCGAGGTTCACCAAGTGCTGCGCCTGCCACGAAATCTACACTTCGAGGTTCACAAAGTGCTGTACCTGCCACGAAATCTGCACTTCGAGGTTCACCAAGTGCTGCACCTGCCACGAAATCTGCACATCGAGGGTCACCAAGTGCTGCGCCTGCCACGAAATCTGCACTTCCAGGTTCACCAAGTGCTGTGCCTGCCACGAAATCTACACTTTGAGGTTCACCAAGTGCTGTACCGGCCACGAAGTCTGCGCTGAGGTTCACCAAGTGCTGCGCCTGCCACGAAATCTGCACGTCGAGGTTCACCAAGTGCTGCGCCTGCCACGAAATCTGCACTTCGAGGTTCACAAAGTGCTGCGCCTGCCACGAAATCGGCACTTCGAGGTTCAGCACTTTGGACATGTGGTGGTGATCGCCAAAGAACTCAGATTTCGTGACAGGTGCAGTGAATCGTGACTTTTGGACATGTGGCTCGTTTGCAGGTTTCGTGGCAGGCACAGCACTCTGTGACGCTCGATGCGCAGATTTCGTGGCAGGCGCAGCACTGCACCTGCCACGAAAACTGCACCTCCGATCCCTTGCACCTGTCACGAAAAGTCGACTTTGGAGCACAAAACACGCGGTTTCCCTTGCGCCTGCCACGAAAAGTGACCACCACGTGCGAAAATGCGCGCCACAACGAAGCACCCGCTGCGGACACCCAGATTCAGCGAGCCTGCGCCGTCGAAGTGCACGTGGACGATGTCGAGAGTCATGAATATACTGTAAATAGCAGCAGTAATTAGCCGGACACGGCCGCGCGGAACAGCGATCTAAGCACACCTTCCTTTCATCTACCGTAAGAACCCCTCATTGTGCCCACACTGTTTGGGGAATTAAAAACATGCTCTTCCCGCATGTTGTCCTTTCACCATGCTACTGGTTTGGTTGACCAGGTCCTGTCTGCATGCATCTGTACGCGCATACTTTTAGGTCAAGCTGAGAATCGGCTGTAAGGGATCTGTGCCATTATACAGCTCGAGCTCTTCAACGCGCCACTCTCGTTTTGGCAAATGCATCTTCTCCTGCAAAGCGGCTGTTTGATTTGCCACATATCTCAGAACACGGCTGAGACATTCACATGACAAATTGTCAAACGTTCGTCCACGGGAGCCCTCTTCCCAACAAAGCTGGTCAAACGAAAATGCCTCCAATGCCCGCCGCTGTGCCACACGCTTGGCTGCCAGGTAATCCCTCCATAAATCACCAAGAAAAAGCCAGCCGCCGATGACCCTCAGGACAGGGGGATGCCAAGGAAAAGGAGGGGCCGTAGAGCAGGGGCCATGCTCAGAGTAAGATTGCCAACTGGCTGCCGTCTCACCATACTCAATTGAGTGGTGTCAAAAATCGGTCTACGATCTGTTATATACTCATGACTTGCTTCCGCCAATGCTTGCGCGGAGCTTTCGCGACCTGCGTTTTGGCTTCCG